TGGGGGACCTGGTGCTGCCGCGGCACGACAAGCAGCACTACCCACTTCTACCACATCGAGAACCCGTCGGCCAGCCCTGGAGCCAGATGAACCGCATCCTGGCGGACGCGTGGGGATCAAGGAGCTGATTCCCTGAAGGAGTGGTCCCAGCGTGTGAGGGATGCGCCAGAGGAATAACCCGGCTGCGGCGCTCGTCGACTTCCTCGATAGCAATTATCCGCATGTCGTGTGGCGGGCTGGTGCTGGAACCCAAGAACACGCTCGAGCACTCGCAGACCTTGTCTGCGGTGGGCCCGGTGAGCGAGGAGGTGGTCAGGAAGTACATCTATGTGTGGAAGGAGATTGGATTCTTGAACAAATAGTTTACCTAACTTGTAGGGGTTATAATACTTACGAATGTAGGAACTTGGTGGAGATTGTAAGTTTTAAACATTGTTGGCTGGTTTCTTGGTTACGGTTAGAATCATCTGGATAGAGGGCATAAATTGTAGTTTTATTTTTTGGCATAGTCGAGGTTAGGTAGTTTGCTTTATTTCATTGCATATTCGTTCATGATATGACTTTCATTGACTTTTATCAATAATCATTTTCCTAGCATAGTTCAATAAGATGTGAGAGCAGTACCTATCAATGGAGTACGAAGTGTGAACAATCCATCACATCTAACCTACTTAAGTTCCCAGCTCCTTTATTCTATCACATCCATACACTTAATTAAGGCGCATGTCTCATCACTTAACAGGCCTAGAACCCTTTCAACGAAATGTAATGGCAACATCTTCGTTTTGCCCTTGAGTACCTGCCTAGCCTTTATCTCCCATAGGACCTGGTAGCCATCAACAATAATTGTCATACACTCCATACATAGTTACTGCATACCTAGTCCCTGGCCCTCTAATTGCGGTATTACTTAGGTTGACATATTGATTAGGTACCAATCGGTTCTATGGAACCCTCAGGTTCTTAAGCCGGTCCATTCCCCTGAATTTCGAACTGCTGTGCCGCTCTCTCGTCTTTTCTTCCCCCTTTTTGCCCTTTTCGTCAAATGTTGGTTGCAGTACCACTAACAATTCCACCCATTGGGATTCGTCATCTCGCTCTTATGTCGCTATTATATCATTGTCGGTTCCAAGGTTATCACCATTCCCGTTTATCTCGCTGTTAGTATGAGCACTTCCACATCATCGTGTTGCGAACATAGCAACTGAGTAACTCCGTTTGGGGCTCAATCACGATTTTCAATTCTTCCCTACATACCTCCCTAGCCTAATAGGTACATATTATATGCTGCAGTAAGCCACTGACGACAGCTGCACGCTTACCTAAGAGCAGGCTCGCCATGTGTGTAACTTGTCAACCATTGAGTCTCAGGGACTTAAAACTTATTTCCGATGGCGAAGGACGGCGGTCTTTGTCACCGACTTCGTTTTCCGGTGACGTGATATCTTGCGTTTCTCCGATCAGGCGATGCTTCGGGATAAGTGTCGGGTATACCGCGCCCGAGGAAAAAAAAGCAATCCTTCCCTTCCGTCAAAGCCTGACCGCTCATCACCATATAATGATATTTCACCTAAGTTATTACTTAGGAACTACAGCTCGCCAAGCCAAATCCTCAATCACACTTTACCTCTCTCATTTCCAAAGGAAAGAAATAATAATACACCTTTTAAGTCAGCATCTCACAGTCATTCACCATGTCTATCCAGCAATACCAACTTACCCAAAAGGGCGGGCCGTTTGCCCTCACGAAGGTACCCCTGCCCAAGCCTGGTCCTGGACAAGTCTCCATCCGCCCCCGTGCCGTAGCACTCAACGGGATTGACTGGAAGAACCTTGCATTCGGCGCCATAATCCGGTCTTACCCCGCCGTTCTCGGCATCGATGCCTCCGGAGTAGTCGAGGCGGTCGGTGAGGGCGTCACCGCTTTCAAGGCCGGCGATGAAGTGATGAGCTACGCCCACGGCATCATAGGCCAGGGCGCATTCGCAGAAGTCTACACGGTAGCACAGCACGAGGTTGCCAAGAAGCCTTCCGGCCTAAGCTTTGAGCAGGCCGTCTCTCTGCCGTGAGTACCTACCTACCCGTTTTCTTTCCTCTCCTCGGCCCCCGCATCTTAAAGCTGCTTTGCTACGTCAGTCAGCGCACCTACTAACGCTCCCAAAGCGTCATCTTCCTCACCGCCGCCGCCACCATCGTAGTCGGCCTCAACGTCGAACTGCCCGGCCTCTCCAAGCTGAGCAACCCGAACCAGCCCAAGTCCATCCTCGTCCTCGGCGGCAGCTCCGGCGTCGGCGCCTCCGCCATCCAGCTCCTGCGCATCGCCCTGCCGTCCGTGACCATCATCACAACGAGCTCAGCCCCCCACCACGCGCACCTGAAATCGCTCGGCGCCAACGTCGTCCTAGAGCGCTCCGCACAGTCCGACGCCGCCGCCCTTAAAGCCGCGACGCCGGGTGGCGCGGGCGTGGACGCCGTCATCGACACCGTGGGCGCGGGCCCGGACTCGCCGGCGGTCTTCGAGGCGATCAAGGCCGACGGCCCCAAGCTGTACGCGCTCGTCGTCACGCGGCCCGATGCCAAGCTGCCCGCCGGGCTACAGTCGACGCTTGTCGGCGCCGAGAACATCCTCAAGCAGGAGCCGACCGCGCTGCAGTACCTGGTCAAGATTGTGGAGGAGGGCAAGTTCAAGCTGCCGATCAAGATCGAGGTGGTGGGCAAGGGGTTCGAGGCGATAGAGAAGGGGCTGGGGAGGTTCCCGGCGAATGTTAGTGGTACGAAGTTGGTTGTTACCCTGTGAGATGGCTAGATAAATGGATATCTTAAAAGTCATAAAAGTTAGGCAGGCATAAGTAGAATCATGAAATAAGCATCAATGATATAAAATAATGAGACAAAATCATTATCAACTTTGTTGCTCTTAAGCTTGTGGCGTGTTTAATGGTGAGATACTATGTATTGTATAGCCCTTGGTTAGGTTAGTAATGTCCAAAGTTGAATAACTAGGTGCTTGCTAAATAGTTCCAAGGTTGCCACCTGGGACACCCTGAAGGCTTCCAGCCCTGGATATTCTTACGCGCTAAGTGAAGCTTAAGCAGCCCTAAAAGCCGCCCAAGCGTACTAAAAAGGCACCTTGCAGGGCCTAAGATCCTTCGTGAGTCGTGACTTGTGAGAACGGCATAACCCGGTACCTGGACCCCTGGATTACGGGGCATATCCACTGTAACCCCACTATATCTCTAGCTGGTGGGGGCTTCCAATAGTTACTATTGTCAGGTGGGCTTCAAGGTTGCGTCTAGAGCCAAGAACATCGCATCGCAATTATGAACGTTACGACTTCACCACTTCACGTAACACCCTTACTATCACAGAATAGTTAAAGCTTAAGTGACTTTTTTTTACTACATTTGTCTAAATGCTACCTATGTAAGTACTAGACTAGTTGCCACCTTCCCCCTTTAATTCTACCAAATGCGCTTAAGCCATTATCCCTAACCCCAACCCTTACATTTACCTTTCTACCGCCAAAGCATCCCCTCCAGCTGGGCGTTGTACCTCCCACCCTGGATCTTGAACGAGGCCAGGATCTCATCCAGCTGCGCCTTCTCCTCGGCCGAGAGACTGACGTCCTTGGTGTTCTCCTCGACGCGCTCGGGCGACGTCGCGCCGGGGATCGGGATGATGGTGCCGGCCTGGGGCGAGTCGTTGTGCGCGCGGATCCAGGCGAGCGCGAGCTGCGCGGGCGTGACGCCGGTTTTTGTCGCGAAGAACTTGAGCTTCTCGACGAGCTCGAGGTTCTTGTTGAAGTTCTGGGAATGGAGATTGAAATTAGTCTGTGGTTCTCTGCGCAGTGCAAGTAAACTGCACCGGGAAAGGGGGTTCTTACCTCAGGCTGGAAGCGGTCGAACCGGCGCCGGATATCACCTTCGGGGATATCATCCACGGACTTGATCTGACCGGTAAGGAAACCACGGCCCAGCGGCGAGTACGCGACCAGCGGAATATCCAGCTTCTTCGCCGTCGCCGCCACGCCGTTCGTCAGCAAGTCGGGGGTCCAGAGCGAGAACTCGACTTCCACCAGGCTGAGGGGGTAGATGGCGTTCGCCTTCTCGATGGTCTGCGCGCCAGCCTCGCTGATGCCGACGCCGCCGATCTTGCCGGCCGCCACCAACTCCCCGAGCGCGCCCAGCGTCTCCTCGAGCGGGACGTTAGGGTCTACACGGGTCGGGCCGAGGATGTCGATCTTCTTGGCGCCGCCGAGGTGCTTGATGCAGGCGTCGGCGCAGGCGATGACCTGGTCGTGCTTGACGGTCGGGCGCATGGTCTTGAAGTCGACGCAGCTCTTGATGAAGAGCGTCACCTTGCTCGCGTCCTCCGGGTGCGCCTCGAAGTAGCGCCGGATGAGGGCCAGCCCGGCCGACGGCTCCGGCATCCCGTAGTAGTCGCCGCTGGACCAGAAGGTGGCGCCCTGCGCGATGGCCTTCTTCATCGCCGCGAAGGCCTGCGCGTCCGGCGTGTGCTTGGGCCGCCAGGTCATGCCCATGAGCCCGAAGCCCGTGGCGCACTTGGGCTTGAAGACGGAGCTGGGGGATGGAGGCATGGTTGTAGGTTTTAGGTAGGTGCTTAGGGTAAGTAAGGAGGTAAGGTGAGGTAAAGATAGTATCTTAGTCAAATAAATCTCGTGAATGGGTATTAGAGGATAACTTGAGAGGAGCGATGCCAAGTTTTCATCTACGGTTTATCAACACAACTCCATTTTTATTCTTAAAAGCTCATCAAGACAATACTCGAAATTATGGACATAACGGAACGGGATAAGATAACGGAGCGGGATAAGCGACGTAAACATGCCTCGGTTTTACCACCCTTACATCGGGGTCGGGTTTCAAAGATGGACGATGATAGGGAGGAAAAGCTCAATTGGGCTGAAAGCGAATTCTGGGATTAAAGGGTGTGCGAGATTAGCGAGTGGCGCGGTCTCGGGATAACCAGATCACTTTAAATCCGCATTATGACAGGTCTGGAAAATGTTACACGCGGGCCGTAAATGCGTGCCTGACGATCTGTTATACCAACAAGTCTTTTGTGTTGCAATTTATGTCGGACGGGATAGGCATTAGTGGTACTACATTGCTCCTTTTTGTGACTACAAATCAAATAGAACCGGCATCTAGTCGGCGTAGCTCCTTTTCCCCTTTTTCCCCCATGAAAAAAGAAGGATTTTTGAGCCACCGAGGTTTATTTCGACAACCATGCTCACAGCCTCTCGACTTAGGACTTTGTTCCAAAGCGCCAAGACCACCACGTCGAGTCACTGCTTACTTGCCTTGCACGACCATTTCCTCTAATCTGCCCAGGTACCTAGGTTGGTAGGCTCGGGAGCTGAGCTGTTAGTCGGATAGGTGCCTAGGTCGGTCAGCAGGCATACACATGGCCATAGCAGGCTAGCGATTGACATTTCTCATCAACTAAGCAGGGTTAATGTCGGGGACCAACTAATCAGACTGTCAACAGTTGAAAGCCACATTCCAAGAGGGGGGAGGAGGAGGAGAAGGCTGTAAGAAACTCCACGATTCAGAAGTACAATACACCCGAACCTGGAATCTGGTGTGTGTCTCCTGCAACCAAGCTTTCGGTAGATGACCACAGCGACGATTACGAAGGATTCCTTAGGGCGAGTCCAGGCTTGGGGGGATGCTAGCCGACGTTCATGGATCTTCGATTATAGAGAAATCGGAAAATCCTTCCCGGCTACTACCCGTAAAATGTCTTTAACGTCATATTTAGGCTTTCGCCATGCTGATATAGGCAGCGTGGGTGAGGAAAACGGAGTATCCAGAAGTCTTGGTATCAGGGGTGCTCGGGGATCGTGGAAGGGGAGGGGCGTGAGTCGGGAAAATGCCCCAGATTCAGTTCAGCTCTAAGCCTTGTTCTTCAGCTAAGCGTGCAGTTAAGCGTGCCTCACTGGGGTGCCCTGGTGGTGTCGGTCTTCATTGCTAGTTGGGGTTGATGACTTCCGAAATCTCTCTTGGTCTAAAGTTCGCCGATGATGAGAGGCGCACAACTTGATGACAGGCACAATTCCATGAGAGGAGCTGTCAGCTTAGCTATGGATATAAAGTATGGTGTATCGTGGGTCTCTTTTTGACAGGAAACCTCATCGCATCATCCGACAGCTTCCTTCTCTGATCCAGTCAAAAGGAAAAAGCGAGTTCTCCCGTTTGCATTGCCCGTCCAATCATGCTCTCCCGCACCATCCTCAACGCGCTGGCGATCTTCGCCTCCGCAGCTACAGCTAGCCCTACCTCGTGGAGTACCAGCAGCGGCGACGCTCTTGTGCAATACTTAGAAGAGAGGGCAGCTCCTGCGCTGAACTTCAAATTTTCTTCTCACGGCTCAATCGTCACCCCTGACTCTCCTCAGTGGGAGAACGACACGTCGAGATGGTCGACCTGGAGCGCTCCCTCGTACAGCGTCGCATTCTTTCCCGGTGAAGAGCGTGATGTCTCCGTTGCTGTATGTAAATCAACGCAGATATTGTTCATGGGTACCTAGGAAGTAACTGACATGACCATGTGTTTAGCTCAAGTACATGTCCAGCCACAACATCTCATGGCTAGCCATGGGCGGCGGCCACGGCAACACACTCACATTGGCTACTGCGCAGAACGTTGTATTGATCAACATGGAGAGAATCAACAAGATCACGATGAATCCCGACAAGTCTGTTTCCGTGGGTGGCGGAGCTTTGTTTGGAGACCTCTACCCAGTCGTTTATGCTGCCGGCAGAGAGCTACGTAAGTGCTGACATATTTCACATTTCTCACATTTCTCTCTGGCTAACACAAGGCTACAGCCCTCGGCGCTTGCGCATGCGTCGGTGTCGGTGGTGCCAGCCTCGGTGGCGGTCACAGCCGTCTCCAGGGCAAGTACGGCTTGATCGTCGACGCAATCACCAAGATGCGAGTCGTTCTATGGGATGGCTCTGTCCTTGACGTATCCGAAACCAAGAACTCCGACTTGTTCTGGGCTATGCGAGGAGCTGGCCACAATTTTGGCATCGTTCTCGAGTTCACATACAAGACTTGGCCTCTGCAGAACGGTGGTCTGACTTACAACGCCGACATGACCTTTACCAGCGATTCTCTAGCCGGTGTTTTGGGTGTCATCAACGACCTCATCCCAACCCTAGACGCAGGTCTCGCATTGGACATGTTCATCTACTATGACCCACCCACCCAAGAGGTAAGCGATATTCTTCTGAACGTCGGAGTATTGAGTTCGCATACTAACTAAACCCAATTAGATTGTCTCCTTCCTCAACATCGTGTACGCCGGTACTCTAGAGCAAGGAAACAAATTCACCGATCTCTTCGCGACCAAGAACGCGAGCGGAACCCACATCGAGCGTCTCACCCTCAACGTGACGATGATCCCCTGGGAGCGGATCCCCCACGAGGCCGCCAACGGCATCATCGACCTCGCCTGCACCGAAGGGTTCGAGTACAACACCTTCACGGTGAACATGGGCAAGTTCGACATCCCGCAGCAGCTCGAGCTGTACGACTCGTACGTGGACCTAGTCACAAACAACCCGCTGGCGTCGAGCTCGCTCATCTTCTACGAGGTGTTCGGGCAGCAGGCGGTGGTGGCGCAGGACCCGGCGAAGACGGCGGCGGGCAACCGCGACTACTCGGCGATCCTCGCGGTGCTGCAGACGACGTACACGGACGAGAGCGTGGCGGGCGTCGCCGACGCCTGGGGCCGCCGCTGGCGCGACGACATCTTCAAGCCCGAGCACTCGGGCTACCCCGTCGAGTCCGTCTACATGAACTACGCCCACGGCGACGAGCCCCTGCAGGCCATGTACGGCTGGGAGCCCTGGCGCCTCGAGCGCCTCCGCAGCCTCAAGAAGCGCTACGATCCTCACGGGTTCTTCAACTTTTACAACTCGGTGCTTTGAGATGGGGGCTATTAAGTATAGCTGTTGTGTGGGCAGATGCTTGTGTTGGTGATGGGTGTGTAGTGAAAGTTGCGAAGAGGAAGGTTTATTGGTGGCCGATATCCCCCTTTCCAGTTAGCTAAATGGTCCGGGAGGGGTTTGTAGTTGAGGAGTTTCTTGTACAAAGCTTTTAATTCTTCCACCCACCTGGGCATAAAGCAAACCTAGGTGCCTACCTAGGTTAGAGCGATTCTTCGTGACTTTCGAACTTGACCCCTTGGAAGTTGAACCTAGGTGGTGGCTGCTATGTATCTTGTTGCAGTACAACTGCAACCAAGAAGAAGGAAGAGGAAAGGAAGAAAGCTTGCTTTATTCCTAACTACGATGGCAGAGTGCCAACATATGGCCATAAGGGCCATATGGCTCTAGTGGAGCCTAAGGGTGCCTGAGGCACCTGCAACAGTTCGTTGCAATGCCCATGTAGGTATTTTGCGATTACGTCTTTTGAAATGTAACTGTAGCTGCATAGGTAGGGTGAGTAGGTAGGCATTTTAAATGCACCCTGGCGTGAGCACAGAAAATAGACACCTACCTGCATCTTTGGGCTCATATGACATTTATTAGAGAGAAAAGCAAAGGAAGAAAGAAGGCAGCGATTGTTTATTCCAGCTATAATATCATATCTACCTACTTGATGCCCATTATATAATAAGCACCTACCTACCTAGGTAGATATGTCTATCCAACCTGACTTAGATGAGAGGGAACCCCCGGCCTCTCTATCTTCTACTTTCACCTGTCGCTGGCATCATCCATCATGCATGAATCCAGATATTACTATCAAGGATTCAATCCCTTTCTGTAAATCATGCCACAGCAAGCCGTCAATGGAAGATATCCTTTCCGAGCAACGCTCCTTCAACTTAAACGTGACACAGCCGCCCCCCGATGAACCTGCGCAAGATAAGAAACTCTGGTGGCCTCGAACAGTAGCTTATCGTGATGGAAATTTGTCCGATGGTACCAACGCCGGTACTGTTCCGCTGTCTCGATATGGTGGTGGTGGTGGTGTAGAACGTGCCACGTTGGCCACCACCACGCAGTCTGCAATCTACCCTGTTACTCTTGCGTCGAATGAATTCCGACTGCTGTGCCTGACTACCGGTCCCGACAAGGATTCCCCTACACATGTTACCTTAGAAACTCATAGCGACGAATACCATCCCGAGTATGAGGCAGTCTCATATACATGGGCTGGAGATGACGGGGATGCCTCACTGTGTCGTCCGATATTCATCGGCCCGTATTGGGATGTCCTTTTCCAGACACAGAACTGCTGGGACCTGGTTCGATTTATGCGGCCGACGAGAGGTATACGTCTGATTTGGATCGACTCTCTTTGTATAAACCAGAGAAATATGCAAGAGCGCGCAGAGCAGGTGGCAAAGATGTCACAGATCTACAGGCACTGCACCAAGGTTGTGGTGTACTTGGGACCGGATGTTACACCTACTTTCGATGATCGGTATCCTCGTCGTCAATGGCTTCATGAGATGAGCATAGTATCTATGAAACAAGAACTTGAAAAAATCTTGGAGCGAAAATATTTTAAAAGAATCTGGATTATTCAAGAGTTGGTCTTCGCTCCGCGCATGGCCATGCGTGTTGGCCAGAGAGAGATCAACATCGACTCGAGAACCACTCTCATAAACTGGAACTGGGAAGAATGGCCAACACCGTGGTTTGAGCACGCTTGTCGGCAAAAATTTCTGGTGCAAAACACATGGGATGCTTTAGAGCTTGTCTCCAAATCTCGGTGTACGGATCCCAGAGATCGTTTATTTGCTATACTAGCTCTACTACCTAGCCCCAATCATGGGATTGAGCCAGACTACTCTGTGTCTGCACAACACGTGTGCATTGGGTTCTTCGCGCATTGCCTCTTGGTAGAGCGTACTGGTTGGTTTCTATTTTATGCCACTGGCGTTCTACCTCAGAGATCAGTTCCTTCATGGGTCCCTGAGTGGAATTCAATAATAGAGTGGAAATATTCCAAGCGTCCAGCTGACTATGAATTTGATAAATTACGCTATGAGCTTCGAATGATGCCGGGCGTTATAGAAGCGCAACACAGACTTATAGAGCTAACCGGCGACTCTGTGGGGGTTGGAAGTGGAGGTAGGCTAGAAAAGTTTCATGAAAGAATTGAGAGAATAGGCAATGATAAACCCTTGGTGTGTTCACGGACTGGTGCCTTGCTTGATATGCGCCTACAGCACTTGTTCACCATACCTCATACTCCTACAAAGATGGGGGCCAGCCAAGAGGGAGGAGAAATCTTCAAGCTGAAGCAAAATACTGGCCCGGCTCTTTACATAGTCAGCAAGGTAGAGCTTGACAAAATAGTTATGCCCGGATGTGACCATATCTTTCACCTCCCCACCGAAACCAGAGAAATTTGGCTAATCCTTCGCGAGGAAAATCAGATGGAAGAGCCGCTACCTGGCTCCACTGCTACTCAACACCCAGTTAAGAAAAACAATGACTATTATTTGGTTGCTGCTTGCTTAGACCTTTCTTTCGGGCTCAAGACCAGGTCCGAAGAACTATACATAGGGGACACGCTATATGGAGAAATCCGGAGATTGCAGAACATCTTGAACACGACTTCAATTGGGCTGAGCTCGATGTTCCATATAGTATTCTTTGACACAGGTTTAGAATCGATTGTCGAAAAAGTGAAGTTGCCTCGGTTAGGATACGCACCGGGATACAAGCATTGGGATATATATTGGATGATTTTACCGGTGTGCTTTGGATTATTCAGGGAGCAGTGGCTTGAGGAGCCGTGTTTCGACGCTTCCTACTTATCTTGTCTTGACCCAAAATATCAGCCCGAAGATGTCAGCGGCTATTTCAGAATAAAAATACCCGGACCGCCCAGAGAGTGGATATATCGATCAACACAGGGCAGTCTTCAATGGAAGATTGATGATGGTGAATGGCAAACGTCTCCACGAATGCCCTCAGGCGACGACGGGTTAGTGCGGAGCACTCAACTTAGGGTTCGGAAAGACGAGATTCGGAATGAGATTTATGAATTATCTAAGGAACTTTGGATTTTACGATCGTTGGAATTGCTACGAAAATATTCCGTCATTTCTACTTCCTCTACTCTTCCAGAGCTTGTGGACGCAATCACAAACCCCCGAGAGGAATACAAATCCATCATGACACAGGATTGGCGTCGTGAATTTACTGTTGATGGAAGGTTTTACGATGTAAATATAAAGTAGTGTTGCAGGTGCCTCAGGCACCCTTAGGCTCCACTAGAGCCATATGGCCCTTATGGCCATATATTGGCACTCCGCCATCGTAGTTAGGAATAAAGCAAGCTTTCTTCCTTTCCTCTTCCTTCTTCTTGGTTGCAGTTGTACTGTAACACGAAAATTACATCTCATACAGAGGAATGTGCCTAGATAAACTGTTTCGTATACTGCTTAGTAGGTAGGTATATACCTAATAGTGAGTTTATTTGGATAACAAGAAGTCATAGGTTAGTTACCTAGGTATATTAATCATAGAGTAATAACATATGATAAACCTATTGGTCGTCATTCTAACATATCCATCGTGTCGCCAAATCGAAACGCATAGGTGGTGGGTAAGGTTAGAGGCATGGCCCTGAGGTTATATCTCTTCTGGGGCATTTCATGTAAGGCTCCTCTCGATTCGCAGTGCCTTCGGGCTTCCGTGTAGAACCTCCTCATGCCTTCCCGTCAAACTTGGTCAGATAGTCGACTCTATCATATGCGAAATGACTTTACAGTTCTGTCGATTTGGTGAATATCATAGACGGTGCTAGGGATGTCGCGACTTCGTGTGAGCGTGAAGGTACTCGAGCGATGAAGACGCGAGCCCCAGGTGCATCCACACCGCTAACAATGGCCTGTGATTACAATTCAACATACAGACATACAGGGGTGAAGCGGCTTCACATCGAATCTGGAAAGGTGCGTTTCCAAATATGACCATTTTGTCGAGTCAGAAATGTCATATTATAAAAACTACTAAAAAAAGAAAACTACTTCATTGAGTACTCCATCGGATTATTCATGAAACACCACACCTTTTGGAATTTGCGGCGCGGAAGATGACAAGTCGGAACAGAAGAAAATGGAATGCTGCGCTTATGCGTTAGGTAGATCGAATACCGATTGGAATCCGTGAATGTAACTGTTGGCGTGAGGAGGCTTGTACTGTAGGTACATCGTGCTGCTGATCGTCTGCTAAATATAGCAACCGTCCGTCATCAACTGTTGTCTTAAACCTGTGCCGCCTGTGGATGTTGAGCATTTCATGACTGTGTACTATTGCCCAGCCCTGAGTGATAGAGGTTATTAGTACCTGAGTATTAATTATAGGTAAACACCAAATGGATATTTGAACCTCGAGAGTCAAGGAAAAGAAATCTAGCCTAGGCAGCTGTTTGGCAGAAGTCTTTATTTACCTGGGCAAGACCAAAGATCATCACAACACCATCATAAGGTGCAGTGCCCCATGTTTCCCCAAGGCCCTAAAACCCTAGCAATGGCTTCTGCCTTACGCCGCCTATTTAACCCTGGCCTAGGGCTGAATGATAGACATATTATTACACGTACCTGGTAGGGAGGTCATACCAACTGGATGTGGACTAATGGAGCTACATATATTATTCTGTTGCGGAGTATTACACCACTGATCAGTTTGTATCATGCATCACACATGTTGTAACTTGTAACTCGTCTAATGTGCCGTTTCGAGCTTAGAAATTAGCATGCCTTGTTCGTATCCTAGCTCACCTACCAATGTAAAATATATAACTAGACTCACTAAGGGTATGGTAGCCCAATAAGACATCTGTGCCAAAATCAAAAATTAAGATTGACTATTCCGAATTTAGAAATTAAGAACAGTGCTACGAGTACGTGAAAAGAGTGGATTGTACTTAGAGAGGCTTATGGATAAGTAAATACTGTTATATACGTGTACAGCTTGCATAAAAAGTACTTAAGCTACCATACTACTTTATATAGTAAGCTAAGTACTGGTTATATCCCTTTTTCCTACATACCTAATAACTTGCATGTACGATGCATTTATGATTTAAACGTGACTTTTATTAATAAGCGTAAAAGGCACTAAGCTAGTTACCTACTTGTTACACACACTTCTTAGCCACATATACCCTAGCCACATATACCATAGCCACATATACCCTAGCCACATATACCCTAGCCACATATACCCTAGCCACATATCCCTTACCTATACCTACCACATTTCGTATTAATCAAAGGTCTAGCCTCTTATGTTGAATAATTTTCTGATACATATAGCTACATATATGCAACCAAATCCAATTGAAAGTGCATTCAATTAAGAATTGATTGATATAGGTCTCGAATTGAGGCGATACGTGGTTGCAAAGTTAATCAACTAAATAGGTGGCAGGCCGGACGGCACGTGATCACCCCTAGAGCCATAGTAAGAGCCCTTGTAGCCACGCTAGGAGCCCTTGGAGCCGCCTGGAGGTCACGCTAAGGGGTATCACGTGATGACACACGATATATCTACCTGAATAACCTTTCAACCAGATATCGCACCAGTATGCAACCTACATCATTCAATCCGTAATTAAATGAGCTTTTGATTGATACCGGTTGCATATATGTAGCTATATGTTTCAGAAAACTATCCATGTGGGAATAGTTATTACATAATCTTATATAGCCATGTCACATGACCATACGGGTAAAAAATATGACATTTTTAAGAAAATACTATTCAATTATCCAGTATAACTAGCTAAAGTACCGATATACATGCCTTTCTTTCTTAAAAGGTGGGACTGCCTACTAAATTCGGAATAGCTCAATCATTATTTTCATTTTGGCACAGCTGTCTTATTGGGCCACCGTAAAGGGGATAGACACACTAAGGGGGTCTGGGCCATCGTTGAACAAATACACTACTTCGTATATATGTACCTAAAGAAAAGGAAATGAGGACCGAGTCCGAACCCCTGTGCAACTATAACTCAGCCGCAGATTAGCTTGCAGATCTAATGATGACATTAACGTGTTTATGCTGGACCGTGAATCCATCATTAACGTGATTCGGGGTCTGCCAAAGGCTGTGCCATCACCTGTCTTTCTAGGTAGGTGCTAGGTAAAGCAGCCTAGTCAGACCTTTATTAACCAAGAATCACCCCTGAAAGATAAATGTCGATTTGAATTCTGTTCTTTTGATCCTTTTTCTTCTCTAAATTGATCATACCACCCAGTTGGCCTCGTTCGTTTATTCGTAAACTTCAACAACTTACCATCCGCGCGCAAAAACGATACGCAACTTTTAGTCGGCCAAAACCAGCCCAAAATAAATCAGGCAGACACAATGGATATCTCTCAGGAGAAATATGTGGTGGCAAGCGGGCCCGAATACCCTCACAACACCGAGCCTCAGTATCAGTACCACCCACAGCAGCCAATGCAAGGCCAACCGCCTGTACAATCGCCTCCCATACAAGAACACTACAAGAGTCCAGAATCGCAACCGCAACAACAACAAGCATATCCGCCTCAACAACAGCACCCCTACCCTCACCAACACCAACCACTAGACCGGTCGGCGTTTGGCCAGCAAGGCGGTAAATGGCAGGCGAGTCTCTGCGACTGCTCGCCATGCACAAGCTGCCTGCTATCATGGTGTTTCCCATGTCTCCGTAAGCGCCACACCTCCATCGCAACCCTCCCCCCCCAAAAAAAAGAGTAAAAGAAAGGAAAGAAGATACTAACACGACATGTCCCATAGTCCTCGGACAGACCTCCGAGCGAATCCGGGACCCATCGATGCAGACCGCGGACATGATGAACAGCGACTGCATGATCCACGGGCTGATAAACTGCTTTACCGGCTGCGGATGGATGTACGTTTTCCACCCTTCCCCCCCACCTACACCAAAAAAAAAGATTGCAAAAACTAACCCCCTTCAGCTACGCAATGCTCAAGCGCTCCGAGATCCGCGAGCGCTACCAGATCGAGGGCAGCGGCTTCGACGACTGCTGCGTGTCGTACTGGTGCCCGTGCTGCGCGCTCACGCAGCAGGACAACGAGGTCGTCATCCGCCAGCGCAACGCCGCGCCCCCCGCCCCCCAGGGATACCAGCCGCAGCCGGGCATGCAGGTTCCCCCAATGCCCGCGCCGCAGCCGGCGTATCAGCAGAATCAGCAGCAGCAAACGCCGCAGTAATTTTTTTATTTTTTGGGAGTTGAGTTGAGTTGAGTTATCTATTCTGTGCATATAAATGGATATGGGGATATATTCGCGTTTGGGGGGGGCGGGGCAGAACTTGAGCGGTTCTTCGCTTGCATGTTGGTTTCGGCCCCAGTGAGAGAAAAAGGGAAAAGAAAGAAGAGGCGGAATGAATCAAAGTTGCGTTTGCGACGTTAACTAGAGTCGCGGGGGGCTTTTCGTTCAACCCCCCCCCCCCCCCCCCACCACCCCCCCCCCCCCCCCCCCCCCCCCCCCCCCACCCCCCCCCCCCCCCCCCCCCCCCCCCCCCCCCCCCCCCCCCCCCCCCCCCCCCCCCCCCCCCCCCCCCCCCCCCCCCCCCCCCCCCCCCCCCCCCCCCCCCCCCCCCCCCCCCCCCCCCCCCCCCCCCCCCCCCCCCCCCCCCCCCCCCCCCCCCCCCCCCCCCCCCCCCCCCCCCCCCCCCCCCCCCCCCCCCCCCCCCCCCCCCCCCCCCCCCCCCCCCCCCCCCCCCCCCCCCCCCCCCCCCCCCCCCCCCCCCCCCCCCCCCCCCCCCCACCCCCCCCCCCCCCCCAACCCCCAACTCCCCCCTTTTTTCGACCGACGCAATGTTCGATGGGGGCTACAAAACGAAGTTCAAGGCTTCGTGCAAATCAATGTTATACCGAAAGTTTTTTACGTTTGGAGGGCTGTGTTGCATAGGGGGCATGATTGGCTGTTTAATACCCAGGGCGAAATAGTCATACGGATTTCATGGCGAGGCGGGCGCTAGAAAAACGTCACGGCGCGCGATATCATATTGCATGTGTACCTAGGGAGGTAGGTAGTTTATCACGAAAAGAAAGAAACAAGAGAATAAACATCATGAATTACATGCAGGTGGTAGGCAGGTAGGTATCCAACCTACATTGTGCATGTATGTCGTGCATACCTATATATATGCTGTGCGATGCTGAAAATTCGATGTTGGCAGTGAGAAGGTGTGGGAGAACTTAAACAAAACACCAATAACTATGGCTCGACTTACCAGATCTTTAATCGGTTCAATTTAGATTCATTGATTTCATGTAAATGGGTAGGACGTATATATCCACGACCTCAACGTTTGCCATGAATCGCCACAGTTAATTGCCACCCCTACCAATTTCGGATCAGCTACTTCATGAGCAGCCCTCTTCCTCGCCACCTAGCTAGCTGCCTCCCTCCCTCCTATCATATAGTTACAGCCGTACACACACAGATACCCAAGCAAACAAGCATTAAATGCCTTCATGCCTTCAGTCGCATAGCTTCGCCCGCTCCCATCACAAGGCTGTGCACCATACCATCCATGCCATACCCATATTCCCATCAACTCCCTTCAAGCTTGTGTAGAAAAAAGAAGGGAAAAGACCCTCCAAAGAAAAGAAAAAAAAGAGGCAGCTTGCAACACTGCGCCGCCTTCGTAAACCACCTAACCTACGTACCTAGTCCATCCATCCATCCTTCGGCGCCGGAAGCCGAAAATAGGAAGAAAAAAAAAACTACGTTACCGCGGGCAGCAAGCGTATAAGAACCCTTGTGCGTCCCTCCCTCCCCCCTTCCAGAGACTTGGCCTGGTCTGCTGGTTAAGATTAGAGGGAATCAACCTTAATCTTCCAGCAATGCTAGGTATTTATCTATCTATCCGTTATGCTCACCCACATTAGGTATGCTATCCCGCTTCCCGGATCCGGAAGGGGAGGCGTTCAATCTTGAGTTGTGCAATTGTTTCATTTAAAGGAAACGCCGTGCAGTCGCTTTCTCGTGGGCTAAATACCTAGGTAGGCATATTGTAGGTACGCTTTGCATACCCGTTTGGGCTCTTTATTGTCCTACCTAGAGTATGTGATAAGCCTTCCACGGTACATATATCATTATATGAAAAGTCATTGACCATGTTCTGGCCGGCGACGTGAACACTACCTAGGCAGGTATTAGGAAAACCAAGAGAAAATGAAACCAGATTGATAGCCGCCCAAGTTCCCGCCCCTTATTTCTTTCGCCCTATGTCCTCCAATTTCCTGCCCATAAGGAACGATTTACATGTAATAATCACAGCTTTACCTAGGTAGATACTGGAATCCAACGCGTCTACATACCAGGAGCGTCCATCCACTCTCTCTTCCAAAGCCAGAAATACCCACTAGGCTGTAATGTGCGATTCCACCAGTGACTATAGGTGCCGCAGATTCCTAGCGGCGT